GTTTAGATCATATTTTATCAAATCCTTTAGGCATTAACAAAACCAAAAGAACGGCGCAAATCAGCACCTCTCATAACTACCAGGAATTCACGTGAATCTTGTCCACGCACCTGTGAAACTGCTGAACCAGGCTGTAGTGAAAGAAATGAAAATGGTTTAAAAATTTATTCTATTTTTATTTCTTATATTAGTCTTGCTGATAAGTAAAATTTACAATTTAACTTAAATTACTCATATATTTTCAAGTATTTAGAAAAAATTTTTCAATTAATAAAAAGATTGAATGATACTTTTAAATATATTTCACAAAATATTAAGTTAGCTAAAAATAGGTTTTATTTCCTAGAATGCTTTAAGAATTTAAAGTTTTATATTTTTACTTATTTATTTATTTTACTCTTTGATATTCTGTTATCTTAAATATTCTCAATTGTTTTTTTTTTTTCAACAATTATTTTTCAGAGACTTCTCCGCTTGTTTTGCAATTAAGGGAAGAATTGGAAAAAACAAGATTGGATAATGAGCGAACTCCATCACCTTACTATGAACCTCTAAATATCGTCCAATCTCGAAAACAACAACGATCTCTATCCAAACAAAAACGACGTTCAAATGCTACAGCAGAAGTGAGCTATTAGGAATTTTAAAATTTTTTAAAAATCATAAATCTCTTTTTTTTCTTTAAAATAAGAATTTCTAAAAAATTGTTATTTTGAATTCACTCAACATTTTTCTAACAATTAGTATAATAAGTTTAACAATAAATGATTGAATTATGAAAATGTTTACTTTACTTATTTTTAAAATGCTATTGTTGCAGATTACTCCGCATAAATACACCGATGATCCACTAATAGCTTGGGAAATGATTAAAAATAATCGTCCTGTGAAGGCGGTGAGACAGGCAAGAGACAGACAAATGTTTACTTTCTTGATTAGTTGTAAAATTGTTAAAAATTTAAGAAATTTTGTTTTCAAAACTTTGATTTTCAATTGAAATTTGTTATAAGGGCGAGGGAAGAAACAGATGAGAAAAGGATTCTCTCATAATGTCTGCAAGTTTTTATTTTTTCTAACTAAAATTAAAATGAAATCTTCAGATGAAATTGAGTACACCAATAAGACATGATGCTGTCCGATTTGTCTGTATGGCTTGTATTCATCAGTCATTTCCGGATCCGCAATTTATTCCGCCCGGTGATATACTCATAGTTGCAGGAGATTTTACATTGTACGGTCGGCCAGATGAAGTTGAACTTTTTAGTAAATATTTAAGTAAGTAAATTAACAAACATCACAAAAATTTAACTTTTTCATTTACTGTTTTCAACAAAGCACAGTAATTGTATAATCCAACAAGCAAACATTTTAAGTAAATTCAAGCAATTTAAATTGATTCCACAAATTGCAGATTAACGACAATAACTGAATAATTTGTAATTATTTTTGCCAATAGTTCAAGTTTTTAAACTATAGCAAAAATTTTTGAAATTTTTAAATTACATTTAAACTGCATTTAAATAATGTACTTCCATAAATTATAAATTAATAATGTTATATTAAATGATTCGTAATTATAATGCAAATGCAAAATGACAAACCCAAAAAATTATCCGCGTCCTCTCAATAATTTCTATAATTATCGCATGCTGAAGTTACCGCCACCACCGAAGTCTTAAGCACCTGTTTAGCTAATAACATAAGTTAAATTTAATTTCACCACAAAATACTTTGTATGTTTTCCGTTTAATAAATTTTTAGCTCTTCTAAAAGTAATTTATTTCAAATTTAATAGTTCAAATTTAACAATGATCGATGAATAATTCACAAAAATATACTAAATGCTCATTCATTTTATTATGCAAATAAATTATAAATTTAAATTTGAATCAGAAACTTGAAACTAAAACAAGATGGACAATTTTAAAAAGTCGCACAAATTAAACTCATATAAAATAGTTAGTGTGCTTCGTACGTGACATGGAGTATTTTAAATTTAAAATATTTCAAAATATATTTAAAGAATTTTTTTAATTTCTTTACAGAACAACTTCCACATACTCTTAAAGTGGTAATAGCTGGTAATCACGAGTATACTTTCGATGATCGTTTCATGAAGGCTCACGGTAAGATTTAGGTTTCAAATACTTCAAATTATAACAAATGACTCATTCATAATTAATTTATCATTAGCTTAACAAATGCTTATCATTGTTCTAAATATCTCTGATAAGTTTCAATGTAAGAGAAAGATAATTAGGATTTCAATTTATATAATTAGGATTATTTCTTGTTTAAATTTATTCATAACAGTAATACTAACGCAATATGTTTTCCCAGATAATTTCTGAAGTAGATAATCATGATTTAACTTCATTCAAATAATTACAAAGAAAATTTCATTTATATCAGAATTATATTAGAAGCATGAAATGATGCATATTTGCAATACTTAAATTTGTTTTTTAGGAAGTAAATTTGGTGAGAAGAAATTAGCTGTGAAGCAAACACTTAGCAATGAATTTTCATTGCAAGAAATGAAAAATGCTAAAGCAAAATTGGAAAATGTAATTTATTTAGAAGATAGTTCTTCGGAACTATTTGGTATTCGAATTTATGGAACGCCATGGTTAATATTTCATTTCAATTGACTAATCGATTATATCATTACAGCATTTAAACACTTTGTCTATTCATTTTAACATTTCATAATTAATTATTATATTTATGAGATGTGTTATTAAATTAGCGAAGCGCAAATAATTCATTTTTTATTTATTTAATTACATTATGAATAATTATTTTGGTATTTTTATTTAATAATTAATGGTTAAATTTTTGAAAGTAATGATGAAATGAGGAAAGTGATTGAAATACCTTTGAAATTTTTTTTTGAAATTTAAATATTCCCTCTTTCCTTAATGATATTACTTTGATCTTCGTTTATCATCACAGTCAACTGTATACTGAAGAGAGTATCGATTAGACAGATAACATTAATGTTTTAATAGGTTCAGGAAAATATTATAAGTTGTGAAAATGAATCTTTGCTTCATCCGTCAAGTTAGCATTCTTGTTTCAATTTTCTCTTTTTGAATTCAAGAATTATCGACGTGAGATGAAATTTTAGGCTACCAGAATACGATGATATGGCTTTTAACCTGCCTCGTGGGCAAGCTTTACTTGATAAATGGAATGACATACCCGCTGGCATCGATGTTCTCATCACTCATACGCCACCGTTAGGTTGTCTTAGCTAATGATTGATTGAACGATTTCAATTATAACTGATTTCATCACTATAAAATGTTATTGGTTGTAATAAGAAATGAAAATTCTTGCCATTATTGATTTTTTGCAGTTTTCCTTTCATCATTTCAGCATTTAAATAATTTTTGTTATTTTAAATTTTTTATCAATTAAATTTATTTACTATTCTTTACTTACTGAGAAGATGAAAATTGTTCTGAAAATTACAATTATCATTTGTTATCTTTTTAATCAGCAATAGATGTATTTTATAATGATGACCTTAAAATTTTTGCTTTTTTTTCTAGGACACGGTGATATATTATCAACAGGGGAACATGTCGGATGTGTCGAATTATTGAATTCTGTAGTCAAACGTATTCGACCAAAGTATCATATTTTCGGTCATATTCATTCAGGTTTTTTTTTTTTTTTTTTCAAATAATAAATGAAGAAAACTATCTTTCAACAGTAGTTTTTTATTTTTCTCTGTCAAAAATATGGCACTTAGCATACTATTACTAATCCAACTATTTTTCAAATGCTAATAGATGAAGCTGAGCTAAATGAATTCTTTAAAATTAAAATCAGTGACTATGAAATGTATGGTAGAATGTTAATATTATAAAATTATTGTTATGTAATACTGCATTTAATGATATTAACTTATAGTTTTAATTTAACGGATATTAAATCACATATATATGTATATAATAAATGCGAATCTGTTGACATATGAAAAATAAGTAATAATTTTATATTTATAAAGTATTTGTTTTAGGATATGGCTGTACAACGGATGGTTATACAAAATTTGTAAATTGTTCTTTGGTAGATGATCGATTACAATTAGTAAATAATCCCATCATTTTTGATATATCTGTTGATGAGAATAAGAAAGAACGTTGGACATACAAATATCGTCGAGCTATTAAGCATAATAGCTAATATGATAATGATGATAGTGATAGACATATGTGATTATGCTGATAATAAGTGAACAACTTAATTTATCAAATATAATTTTTTAATTTGAAAGGTTTTTAAATTTTATGTAAATTTGATTTATATAAGCAATAATAATAACAATAAATGTGATAATTAATCATAATGTTTTGTGTGTGAAAAAAAAAAAAATTGGATATCAAGAAAAATGCAAAATATTAAATCTTTCAAATTCAAGTTTAAATGAATAATTATTGCCAAAAAAGTATTATAGAAAATCAAAATGATTTCCGGGAATCTTCCACTGGAATTTTCCATCTATCAGTTTATTTTCTCTATATTCCACATATTTTGATAACGCTGATGTTATCGAATCTTCATTTTCTTACTGCAACTTGTATCTTGATTGATGTCATTTTGCTGTAAAACTTTTTCTTATCAACTTTTCAATATTTTAGCAATAATTGATATCAAATTCTTTATCAAATGAGTAGTATTTATGTTTTCTCATCGAAAAAAAAATTTTAATATCTATCAAAAATACGACATAACTCGAATTGATTAAATAAAAGAAAATTGTTCAAGAAGTATTAAAATTAATCAGTAAAGATGACATAAATGAAAATTAAATATTATACTTAAATTTATACTTAACAAGCTTAGATAGGTGCACTGCTTACCAAAAATGAATTAACAGAAAATATCACTTTTCTTGATAAAGTCAAGAAAGACGTTCGGAAAATTCAGTAAGACTTTTCAACATTCTCCAATAACCACAATAAATATGAATGAATACCTGTGGAAGTTTAATCGAATTTCATTCTGAAATTACTTCTTGAATTGTCATCATCATCATCAAAATCTTCATCACAATTATGCCTTCTGCTGCTATTTACCATCTTCTGCTTCAGTTTTTTTGGTGTAGCAGTCAGATTCTGAAATTCTGGATGCATCGCGAGAGTGGGAAATACTGGTAAAGGTAGTGTCGCAGTGCTTCTTGTAGTTGTCACTGCAGTAGACACTGTTGATGTCGGCAAAATTAATGACTGATGATTGATCGATTGAAACAAAGATTCCGGCATAAAAGGTGCTGATACTGGATATGGAATATGAAATGGAAACAAAGGGATTTCCGGAGAGAATGGATAGATATTCTGGATATCTTGATACTGTGGTGCTGTAAATGATAATATGTCGGGAGATTGATCAAACCAGTTTCCTGATTTCATTGGACGACGACGTTGTTTGACAGGATTTGGCATATCGTGAATAATGGATAAAAGTGATGCTTTAGTTGGAATCGTAGATGGTCTCATTATTGGAGGTTTCGTCATCATTTTTACTGGTTTCCGTTTTATCACTGATTGCTTTGATTCCCGGAAATTGTGATCGTAGATTGCTTTTTTATTGCTTGCCTGTTTCATCTTCTGTGCTTTTGACAAACTCCAAGCTTTTGGCAATTCATCTGTTGATGCTAAATAATTTTGAATATTAATGTTGCTTAGAAATTGAAGTGAATTTGAAATTTATATTAAAGAACGCAATGCTATGAAATCTGCAATGTTCTATAAAAGTTAAAAAAGAAATTTATTTATCGAAAATCTATTTTCTTACTTTCACAACTGACTCACTGATTATGTAAATAACATTGCTTTTTCTTAATCAATAATAAATTCATTGAGAATTATTTGGCGGATAATATAATTTGTTAGATCTTTGTATATATTATTTTAAAAGTAAAAATAGAACTAACTTTTTCCCATTTGTTGATTTGTATAAATTGAGATATTGTAGTTTTGGCTGCAAACATATTCTCGTTTTCAAAATCAATTAAGCTTAATTTTTTTCATTTCTTAATTCACAAAATCAATTAAGCCAGTTTTCTCGAACAACAAATTACTAGTCAAAATACATACCTTATTTGTTGTTCGTGCTGTTTTGTGAGTAATTGTACTGAAATTGTAAATACTACTTCATATAATATTTTACACTTCATATAGAATAGTTTTAATTACTACCTTAAATTTAAATCAAAAAATGAACGGAAAATTAATTGTTCAATAAAAAGTGATAAAAACAAACTTAATGTTAGGATGGATACTGTTAAGATCCACATGGTGATATTATATCAATTGAATGATAAGGATGCTACGACCCATATATATATATGTATCCTTATTATATGATCTGATGTGGAATAATTTTAATGATAAGGATGATGCGACTCATATGCATTTATATCATTGATGAATGATAATCTATTGATCTTATCAACAGCTGTGTCCTTAATTGTAAATCAGTTTTCGACAAAATTTAAATTCATTCCATTTATTCGAACAATTTTTAATCCATTAAATTATTAAAAATAATTCGACAAAGTTTATTCAGTATTTTATTAAGTTTCCAAAATGGAAAAAAAAAACCATTGGTAAAGTATGTTTTTTTCTACCGTAATTAACGTAAACCTTTCCCGGATTTTTTCCAAAAATTTAACCGTTTGAATTTCTAAATTGTTGAGACCTTCCTGTTACGATATAAGCGAAATGTAAAAGTAAGGCATTGGAGTATTTATTGCATAATGTCAATTTTAATATTTTTCAATAACTTCGAAGAAATACAATCACAATTAAACATATTTGTGTGAAATTAATGACAGTATAAGTAATGTTTGTTTTAATGCAACAATTAATTTATAAATTCAATGATATTATCAACATCAAGTTGCAAAAATTTCATAATTTCTATTTTATCTGTAATTAATTTAAAATTACTTTTTTTCAAAAAAGGTAAAACTTTGAAGAAAATATTCAAAAATTTCTAAAAACAATTCTAACTAGAAATTGAAAAAAAAAAAAAACGTATAGAATTGATATGAATAATTGTCGCTTAAAAATAGCATAAAATGATTTTTATTTTTTTCTTAACCAAATTGGATAAAAAATTTCTGGAAATAATCATATGAATGAATGAAATATTTTAAAGATAAAGTTTTAAAATGATATTATGGGATTATTTAAAAAATTAGAAAATAAAATGCAAAAAATTGAATAATTATTTGATTCGATTTTATTGAAAAAATTCAAGCAAATTTTGAGAATTTTCGAAATTAGCAACGCGATTTTGAAATGAAGTGGCAAAAAATAATCTTTCTATTATAAAATTAGATTCCCTAGTGTTTTAGTTATATTGGCGCATCTGTTGGCGGTCCAATACATAGACATGTCCGCCTACAAAAAAGAAACATTGTTGGCCGATGTGTGTCACAAAGGTCAGCTTTAGCCCATTCTCGACAAAGATCACCTTTTTCGTCCACTTCCGTGTCACAGTTTATAGTGAATGGTCTCCCTGAAATTATTTTAACTTGAATGATATGAAATAGCTATGGAATTATTTTATAATTTTGAAAAATTTAATAATTGCGAAGATTATTTAAAAGATATTGATTTTAACTGATTTGAATGATTAATGAACAAAGCAATTAATTAATTAAAAAAGTGACAACGGAACATATTCATATTGCACAGTAAAGTTTAAGCAAATTATCATCTGCCGCTACATATTAATTAAATAAAATGGTTTTGGCGGATATTATTGCAAGTTCCTTTCGTTCTGTTCCGTTCCGCCAAAAGGTCATATGACCGTTGCGGAATGTTTGCTCCTCGCAGTAAGCAGTCAAACAAGCGCAATGCCAATGTATTCTATGTTATATAGTAAAAACTCAAGTTAACTTTGTATTACTTTATTTGTTAATCTAATTAACTTTTTTAAGAATTTTATTTGCAAATCTTTACGCCTTACAACTAAACCATTCACTAAATGAAACATTACTAAGTCATAAAATTGTGCTAAAATATTATTGAAGAAAATATTTTAAAAATTTAAAGAAGTTAAGTGTTCTTTTATTTTTTATTAGTAATTTGGTAAAGGAAAAGAAAAACTAATTTCTATAACGGTCAATTTTAGATTTCTTATAAAAACTGTTAGACATATAACTTGTATGGTTTATTAAAACCGGAAATAAATGCTTAGACACATTCATCTTAAAATTAATTGAAACGGATAGAGCGCTATCGAAAATACCTTGAGAAAACTCAAAAAAATTTGTTTTTGACTAATTAATAATTGAATTTTTTAGTTTATTCTGATATTTCTTCTCGTTATATCGCCGTTCATTCTTTTTTCATTGAATAATTTTCATTTCATTAATGTAAAAATGAGGCATCAAAAAAAAAAAAAAGACTTACATTTCCGTTTCGCTGAGTTACCAGTTTGCTTCGATTGTATGCTTGATAATACTAAAATTTGATACATCAAATTGTAGACAAAATTAGGCAATGCTCTTTAAATAGACAGTTTAAACTGAGAGTTTAAATCTAAATGCTTAAAGTACTTAAATTTTGAAATGAATGATAATCTTGTTGTAAAATCAAAAAGAAAAATTAGAATTTTTTTAATCTGTTTATAGAATATTTATAGCTTACAGATAATAATTTTAATCACTTTTAACGAATTACTTTTAATCGAACAAATTTTCTTTTGCAGTAAAATTTTGAGAAAAATTAAAAAATACCTGCATTTGGCACATCTGAGTGATCATCTTGCTTCTTTTCTGGAGCATTAGAATTATTTGAATTAATTGATTAAAAAGTCAATTAAAAAGATTGATAACTTATATTCTAAGTTCTTTTTTTGAAGAGAAAAAATGCGATTAAACTACAAAAAAATTTTTTTTTTGAGAGAAAAAAATTTCTTATTCTGAAAACAAATTTAAATCAAAAACACTTGTTAATTGTATCTCGAATTAGCACACAAATTATAGCTAACCCTGAGTTTAGAGTTATTGTCATACTTTTATATATATATGAGATAATTGGAACGGTGATAGGAAACAAATGACAAAAAATCGATGGGAGAGAAAAGTCAAAAAATTACCTTCTGAAATAGCAGTTGAAGTGGATGCCGCATTGTTTAATTCTTTTTTATCATGATCATTTCCGGAAACTTTTGTAGTCGGCATACTTCTTTCATCTTCTCTTGTAACACTTTCTTTTTGAATTGTAGTAAATGATTCAGTTAAAGCATTTGATGTAACTGAAGGAACAGTTGCACTCAGCAATTTTTCACTTCTTTCAGATTCGGGCGCTTTTGACATTCCAAAATTTGCATATTCATTGCTAACTGGTAATTCCGGAGCAATGGAAGTTTGATCAGCATTAGATGATAACTCTGACCTTATTGTCGTCACTGATTCTGCACTTGATGATATCAATTCAGTACTCAGTTCTTTTTCACTTCCATATCCGAAATCTTCAGGACCCATAGGTATTTTAGCTTCATAAAACTCAGATGCAGTATTTTCTGGAGTAGTTTCTGATGACATACTGTCCATTTCATTTCTTACTTCACCTAATGTTTTTTCAGATTTAACACTTTCAATTGCTAAATGAGATTCTTTTGTGGTTTCTGTATCAGTCATTTCACTTTCTTCTTTTGCTTCTTCCGTTACAGCAACTGTAGCACCGGTTAGCTTTGAAAGACCCGTTTCCGTTTTCTTTGTCATTGTAATTAGTTTTAGAGCTTCTTCACTTATACCATAGGGTATCGGCGTTTCTTCTTCATTCGTTATTACATCCATTAATGTGCTTTCCATCTTAGCTGCTTGACTAGGAACAGTAGATTCAACGATTTCTGAAACTTTGTCAGTTTCTATGATTTCATTATTTATATCTAAAGATGTCATAGTGTCTCCTCTATCAGCAACAGAATATTGTGAAGAAATTTCAACGCTTTCAATTGCAGAACTTGTTTCAAGTTTTGTAGTACGTTCCATTGATGAAGTTTCTATTGCTGAAGGTTGCTGGATGGTTTCACTTTTTATTTCATCAGTAAATTGCATTCCTTGTGTTGTGACGATAGATTCAGCTGTTGTCACTAAAGTTTCCGCTTCTGTTACCTCTTTAAGTCTTCCACCGTAACCGAAATCATCTGCATCTGTTGAGATTTTATTAGATTCTGCTTGAATTGATATTGTTTCACTAATTGGAGTTTCTGTGAATTTTTCTTCTGCAGAAACTCTATAGCCATCAGCTGCTGATTCTGTGATGCTTACAAAGTTTCTAGTTTCTTCATTTACTACTGATATTCTTTCACTAGTTTCCGGTTTTAAAGATGATGTGATTTCTACAATTTCCTGTTGTTCGGTTAATTTTTCATCTGATCCTGATAATTCATTAGTTATCTCTTCAGTTGTAGGATAATAATC